AAGTGGGTTTAAATTAGATATTAGGAAGAAATTCTTTATTTTGAGACTGGTGAGGCACTGGAACATATTGAGCAGAGAAACTGTGAATGCCCCATCCCTGGGAATTGCTCAAGGTCAGGTTGGATGGGGCTCCCATCCAACAACCTGATCCAATGAAAGGTGTCCCTGCCCATGGCAGGGGGATTGGAAACAGCTGATCTTTAAGGTCCCTTTCAACCCAAACAATTGTATGATTCTGTGACAGATCCTACACTACCTTTTAAACTATTATCTTTCCTGATTTTTCAGAACTCAACTATCTTTTTTTATCTTTCCATCCTAACTTTGCTCACGTCATCAGTACTGGTAGGATGCTTTTAGAAATAGCTGTAAAGTAACTTAGTGACTTGTTGACTTAGTTCACTAGTTAAAGTTTGAATAGTTGTCATATTTAATCCTGCAAGCTGCTCTACTGTGTTCCTTGACTTAGTTTAAGAACTTAAGATCCCTCTTCACAATCATATTTTAATAAATACAGATACTAGCAACAAGAAATATGCCTGAGTTGTGTCTTCTATTCAGTTCCTTATACAGAGCCATGTCTTGCAGGACTAATACCTGTCTGATATAATATTCATTAAGTTGAATATACTGCTTCAGAGTTCTAGTTGTTTCTAAATTATAGGTAAATCTTCAAGTTATTACCAAGCTATTTCACTTATTAAACCAGTGATGAGGAAGAAAAACTGAATCTGAAGACTTTTGAAACAATTTTAAACTGTTTTTTACATCTTTCCTGAACAGTTTTTTTAAATTATAAATATGGAAAAGCGTTTGTATTTTAATAAGTACTTTTGGAAGAGCAGTGTGAAGGTGTAACTCCTTTCAATATTGATCTAAATATTTGGTTTTACCACTAAATAAAAAGAGGTCCAGAGATTGTACAATCAGTAATCCAGAGCTTTTTGTCACTGTCTTTAAGGTACCTACAAGTGTTCTGATTGTTCAGAGGTACTTTTTATTACTTCTAACTAGCTGTGGTGGCAGTAGGCACATTTCAATTACAAGCATGTATAATGAGAAGAACACACAGCATTATTCCCTGTTGATTGCACTGCCTCGGAAATGATGTCTAGATGGTGACATTGAACACACAGCTCTGGAAGGATTGTCCCAGTTTTTTGTTGTCAGACTTTCATTCTTCAGTTCACATGGGCAGCTTTCTTGCAGCTAAAGAAATCTCTGTTTTAGGGGAGGGGAATAAGCTATCACAGCTGGCAGAGGCAAACAGTACAACATGCACAACTGAACAAAAGTAACAACCTGAATTGCCATAAGTAATTGAAGGCAAGAGCTGCTACAGAAGACAAGATACTAGCTGTTTAAGTTTGAAAGCAGGTTCCCATAGTCTGAATTCTTTTACTTGGAATGTAGATTAATTTGTGATTATAAAGAAGTTCCACCACTCAGATGATTTTTCCCCCTTCCAGTTGTGATACAAATACATGACAAAATGGTAACTGCTATAATGGGCACATTCCTTTTATAGGCTTAGTATCCTTTTATTGAAGAGAAATATAAAAAATATGCTGAGAGATGGCTGTGTGGCTGGTACATGTAGTGGAGAGGGACATGGATAGTCTTTGTAGTGCTCTGTAAATGAATTTTCAGATGTCTGTTCCATGCCTATGGCAGCCTTACAAGCTGTAAGGGACCTTGTGTGTCTGGCAAGTTCATGTCTTCTGAAAAAGTAAGACTGACTGAAAAAACCCAGGTCTCAGTGACTGAAGTTATTCACTCCCAAGGGCTATCACAGTGAAAGCATTAGGAACATGAAGTATAAGGAGGCCTTAACCAGTAACATCCAAGCCATCTCAGATTTTTTTTAAATCCAGGTATCACTGGGATACTTACCCATGCTTTCATGAGAGAGAGGCTTTCTAGGGCATCATACAGTTTGCCAGAACTGTGGCTTCTGAAAGTCACAATAAGCAGTTTTAAAATGCTTTAAAATATGCTATTCCATTATTTATAATCTTTGTATGTTGTGCATTGTGAGATGTGGTTAGTATAGACATGAGTTATGCATACGCAACATTTCAAAAATTGCCTATGATAAAAGTACACATGTGAAAATATCTTAAAAACATGTAAATTCAGTACTAGGAATTTGTCAGTGAGGATCTGTTGGGGAGTGATGGAGTCATGTTCTCTGGACTTTTTCTCTGTATTTTGAAAATTGTGGCACACATCCTGCTAAGAAAAAACACAGGACAATGGGAAGAATCAGGCCTCCCTTATTTTAAAATTCATGATTGACAAAGTAATTTGTTTTGTAGTCATGCATATTCTTTACTAGTATTTCCCGTAAAATATCTTTTCCTTTCTTTGCCTGTCAGTTATGTTCATTTGTAATTCTAAAAGGGCTAGTCCATCATGAAATCTCTTCAGCTAACAGAGGGGAGGGAACTCTCACATGGACTTGGAATCATAGAATCACCTAGGCTGGAAAAGGCCTGTGAGATCATTGACTCCACTTGACACAGGCAAGTCCCACTAGAGACATGTTCCCAAGTGCTATGTCTACACATCTGTTAAATACCCCCAGAGATGTTGGCTCTAACACTTCCATAGGCAGTCTGTTTCTGTGCATAAACACTTTCTGTGTAGAAATATTTCCTAATGTCCAATCTAAGCTTCCCCATAGAAAAACTTTAGACTATGTCCTCTCATCCTGTCATAGGTTGCCTGGGAGAAGAGAGAGACCTCCACCTGGTCACAATCTCCTTCCAGGCATCTGTAGACAGTGGTAACGTCTCCATTTGAGTCTATTTGAGTCTCATTTTCTCCAGGATATCCAGCCCCCGCTCCCTCAGCTGCTCCTCACAGCACTTGTGCTCCAGAGCCTGCCCCAGCTCCCCTGCCCTTCTCTGGACTCACTCCAGCCCCTCAGTGTCTTTCCTGCAGTCAGGGCCCAGAACTGGACACAGCCACTCTGCCCCAGCCTGTGGCACTGCCTGGGGTTGGTGTGACACAAGGGCAGGAGCCAGCACTGGGCCTTGTTGAACCTCACACCATTGCCCTCAGCCCATTGATCCATCCTGTCCTGATCCCTCTGCAGAGACTTCATCTCTCCTGCAGATCAACACTCCCACCTAAATCAGTGTTATCTTTAGAACTGATGTAGACAAAGAGGACAGGCATTTTGCTAATGGACTTAATAAATATTTCCTGGCAGCAGAACTAGTGGGTTCCATTCCTGACTCTGGACTTTTTAACTAAAAGATTTTGCATGTGCATTTGGAAGAAAGACGCGAGCTTCTTTCTTGCCAAAGAGCACTTCAGCAAGTGTGATTTTTTTTCTTAAAATTTTGGATATTCTGGAAATTATTTTAAAAATTACCCTTACTGGGTATAGGAGAAATGTATTTTGTTTTGTCTAACCCTTTAAAAAAAATCTCTTCTGTTTTGTCCATCTGTTAAAATTCAGCCTAAGGCAGATTCCTGGCAAAACTTAAAATTTAAAATCTGTGGGTTTGTGCAGCTGGCAACATTTCTTCCCACTTTTCTTCAACAATTTAAGAGGATTTCACTTGTTATTTATTAAAAGAAAGAGTGTTTAGTCCCATTTACAACATGATTATGTTGTTACTACTGTTGTCTGATAAAAGGCCAGCAGCACGTTTTCTGGTGAGAGAAAAAGTAAGAAAGAACATGTTAACAGTGCTGAGTTGGACCTTCACTTTCATTTGCTCAGCCACCTGCCGCTTCAGATCTATATAAGGAATATGCCTGCCCTGCAGCCAGCAGAGAAGTACAGAGACAGTCAAGCTATCCACACAGTTGGGCTTGTTTATATCAAGCAATCTGGTGGCAGCAGCATGGAGCCCTATGTGAGTCAAGGTATTCAGGTGAGAAATGAGAGTTGATTATCTTATGCACTGATGCTTTTAGACCTCTTCCAATGCTTCTACTATCTCTTTTAGAAGGAGTTTGTGCATTCCTGTAGTAAACCACAGGTATGCTTTGAAAGGAGATGCTATTATATCTGACAAATTGAATTCACAATTTACTACATTTTTCAGATGTGTTTAGTTAAAATATTTTAAATTTCTTGTACTCTTTGTTCAAGTATTCAAAGACTAAAATCTTTACAGTATTTGTGTTTCATATGCCATAAATATGTGAGCTGTGCAAGCAGAAAAGATAATATTTATTTACAATGATCATGCATTTTTGCCCCATGTTTCTCAGTTTCTAAGACACTGAAGAGTTTACCCTTATACTAATCAACTCTACTTTGTAGAGATACTTTTTCATTAACAGAGAGACAGATTGTCTTTTCCTCAGCACTGCAGCCCACTCCAAGCAGATGACTAAAGAACCATGGAGAGCATATGCTCGGCTATGACAGTGAATGCTACACAAGCATTTTTCCTACTGTTGTGAAATGTGGCTGTTAACATCTCTCCATTTTTCTCAGTACACTCAAAGACTTATTCAGTTGCTAATGCTGTTTGAGTCATGGAATATCTTTGCCTACCACATGGAAACAGGAGGAAACACATGGAACATATGCTTTTATAAGGAGGCTCTAAGAGAATATACAAATAGCAATGGTGGAATTCTAGCAATACCCATAGAAATACGGAAAAAATCTTTCAAAGGGGGAAAAAGATATTATAATTTTCCTCTGACTTTTAGAGTTCAAATGATATATAGACAGTTTGAAAATTAGTTTATGGAAACAATCTAAAATATTAGAAATTCTACTTTTAATTACCAAAGGATTTATATAATCCTGAGTTTAAAATAGACTGTCTTCAAAAATTTAGGTTCATTCACTTTGCAAAGAGATTTGGATATTTGTGCTTACCAGGAGTCATATATGCTGTTTTACTTTGAAATATTATGGTGATTTAGAACTACTTATAAAGGAATGCTGAGTGAACAGATATTATCTCAGAAAACAGTAGAAACCCACAATTTTAAGTTGTGAATATGGATAAACAGACAGTTGATAATCCTTAAGGGTGCGTGTTATTAATATAGAAGTCATGCAGACTATATAGTGTAAGCAGAGAGAGATGACATTGTTCTGTATTATTCACACCATCCAGTGATCCCTGGAAACAGGAAAAGACATGGTTGACTGGAAGAGTTCAAGCAGGTCTGGATGTCATCTAAGGACAGAAAATAACCTGGCAACATTTTTAACCATCTTTAAGAGTTCTGCTTTGATAAAATTAATTTATTTCTGCTGTTTAAGTGAGATCCCACTAGTTCAGTTCTACAGGATAGACCAGGTCTAAATTCTATATAGGTCTGATAATCTTTCCTAAGAAAATCCTAAGAAAATCCCTGACCCTGAGTGTCTAACAGAACAAAGACATCAGAAGTAAATCACCTTTGTGGGGTGTGATGGGCATCAAGGCAGTTGTTTGACCACTGACATGTTTGATAGTGCTTTTTGTACTGTAAATGCTCTTCAGCTTTTATCATATGATGCCTTGATCCATGGTCATTGAGATAAAAAGTGATTTTTTTTTTTTGTGAAACTCTGAAAGAGAGTGCAGTCATGCAGGTCACCTCACTTTCAGTCATAAATCAAACAAAGCTTTCTGTGACAAAAATAAAAAAAATCTCATACTGCTCAAGATTATTTACCCTGCTTATACAAGATAATCAATTCCAGCCTCAGAGGGAGGTCACTGCCTGTGGTCATACTTTTAAAGATATTATACTGGCGTCTAGCAGGAGCATGTAACACTGCAGAGCTTGCAGGATTATTTCTGTAACATTTAGAATAAGCAATAGAGTCCATTTTAACCATGTTATTTTAAAACTAATTTTTGCAACCTAATAAATGATTAAAGCCTAATCTATCTGCACTGGTAGGCACTTTTCTGAAACTTTTAGGTGACTATCACATACTTAATTTTGCCTACCTACAGTATTTTACTGTGTGATTCAGCAAAATAATTAAGCTTATGTAGTTGTGTAGATTTCACCATGATCATGCAGATTCTCAGGATTTGATATACACCTCATTAACTTGGGGAATTGAGATCCAAATATTAATTTTACAGGGTTGCACCCATCCCAATGTACCATGGATTTGAGTTAGTCTTCTGAGTACAGACACTTTGGCATAGCTTTCCCCACAGGATCAATCTTAGAAAGATATCCTAGGGTGACTTTATATGAAAAAATTGCAATTTAAGAATTTCTATTCAACAAAAGAAAGAAAATAAAACCAGGAATCTGTTTTCAGAAAATTACAATCACATCAGAGTATAGTGAAATCTAACAGGACATTCAATGTCAGTGAGTTATTTTTCAGAAGATTCATCTGGTAATTCCTGTTCCCCAAATTATTTTTTCTAAAGCTTTTGAAGTGCAGTGATGGACATAAAAATATTCCACTATCCATAAATCTACTTTCCACTACAAAAGAGCTAGTTTTCTCAGTTTACTTCGGATAAATACACAGTGTTTTGCCTGTTCATCATAGTAATCCATCTCTATATACCCTGACACCTATTGTAAAGACTTCTTTTCAGTCTCCTTCTTTCCAAAATTCCTTCAAAAAATTCCTTCAAAATTTCATTTAGAGTGTGCTAAATTTTAGTTTTAATATAAATTAATATTCTACTTTTAGGAGTAGTAATAGAAATATTTGAAAATTAGGACTGTGTTTTCCTTTGCAGAATAGGGCTACTCATATAGTTTATATACCTTGTCTCATGTAACCTTATCAAAGGCAGCTAATAATCTGCCAGATCTGTTCAGAACAATCACTTGATGAATTCACTGCTGAGATTTTAAATTTCCACTTTTCTCAACTAACTTGGCATACCTCACTGGCTGATCTGAAAGCTTCATACGATTATGTACTAAACAGTACAATTTTAAGTCTATCAACCACAAATCCAGAGTTTCTCTTTCACTGCTTGCAATATTTAATATTCAGTACTTTTTCTTATGTATTATTTTCTTATATGTATTAGGAATTATTGTATTTAAATAAATAGAATTAATGGTCTATTTTCAATGCATGTAGCAGCAGAATCTAATTCTGACATTTTCATGTCATTTCAATTCTATATTTTCAATTTTTTCTCTGAGGCATGTATCTCACTTAAATTTTGAAAATCAGAGAGTCAAACTCAAATGGCTGGTAAATTCTTTGTGCTAAATTCTATAAATAAACTATGAGGATGAAAATATTTGAGCTAGTAATCTTTCATGCAAATTGAATTCAATCTAGGCAGACTAATGCTCTCAAAAACTCAGTAGAGAAATACTAAAGTCTTTAAGTTTCAGTCATTACTAATAAGATTGAAAGGGTTTTGTTTCTTTGGTTTACAGGAGATAATTTAAGTGTCACTGAACTTTTTGGGTTAATAATAACATTTGCATCATTCAGTTGTAGTAGCATTAATAGGTCTTCCTTTTAAGGTTGTCACATAGAAAATAAAGCCCTACAACTTTCAGTCCTACTTGAGTAAAACTATGCCAAAATATGAAGGAATTCTTTCTTCTGTCTTATCAATAAGTCTCAAATCACAGTTCAGTGGGCCCCTTGTCCTCACATCAGTGATAGCAGAATGATTATTGTAGGAATAGTAAAGGGCTCATGATACAGAGTTCATAGCCTTATGTATGCTCACAGCTTTTTGTATGCTCTTTGATGTAATGAAACAGGATGTAGCTGAGGGCATTGCCTTGAGGATGAACTCCTAAAGGGACTGACCAGGGCTATGTGGCTGAAGCCTGAATAAATCATTTCACTTTTCCCAGGCCTCTCTGGCAAAGTATTACCTGGAGGATAAATGGAAGCTGATGTTCCAGTTGGCATTGAGTTTCCAGAATGAATAAAGCACTATCTGGTGTTCTTTAACATCTTCTAGTCTGTTTTATCAACTGCCAGAAAACATTTTAAATTAGCATGTCACTTTCTATAGACAACTGAGAGACAAATTCTCTCAAACACAGCGTATTAGGCTAAATAATGTAACATATTGTTTGAAAAATCAATAGATCAAAGTAAGTGGGTTTGGTGTCTCACAGACCCAAACAAAAAATACATTATAAATCAAATTAAGCACTAAAACTCTGTGAGAAAAGTCCACCACATAACAGTAATTACTCATGTACTTGCTTTGTCCTCCCTTGCCAGTATTTCCTATTTGAAAATTATACCATGCTATTGCTATTGGCTGTTTTCAAAGGCTTTTTGTCATAACTATTTTCTAAATCTAAGCAAATAGTAAAATTCACAGGAAGTGAACAGCAGCACTGTTCTAAAATCTAAGTATAAAAAAAGATAATTTATAGGTATACTATTTTTCAATGAAGTGTGCACTCTTCTTACAGCAAGAGGTATTCAAGATTGATGGCGTATGTAAAAAAATTGCAATATTTAAAAAATATTTTTAAACCTAATAAAATTGCAGTGTCATCTGCATTCCACCAGAAATGCCTCTTGAGAAGGGGTTGAATTTGCCATCACAGATGTTCACCAACAGAAGCAAGATTTCCTTTTTCCCCAGTTAAAGTCTCTTCCTTTATCATTCCCTAAGTAAGGGTTTTTTCCTCAGAACTACCTCACTGAGGATGACTCTACCCTGTGATGAGATCTCCAGTGAGGAAGTGATTTCTCTGTAGATCTTGGACTACTGTAAAGAAAGCTTTTTGGATTTCTTAGGTGTGAAATTAATTGAGTTTTAAAAATCAACAGGAAATCTGGTAATAAAACAATTGAGAATATGGAAATTAATTTTTTTAAAAGAAAGGCTTGAGCTTCTACTCTTTAGTTTCTTCACTTCAAAGGAAAATTAGCCAGGTCTTCTTGTAATACTAGAATAATACTAGAAGGTCAGTGGATGAAATAAGGGCCTAATTCTGTGAATAATAATGGGACACAGATATCTTTTCATCCCTTAGGAATGATGGCGCAAATCAGAGACTTCCAGCTTCCTCCTTTCTGGCTTAATAAATCTTAAGTAACTTTTTTGGAAAATAGGAGCTGCTATGCTCCTTTGCAGACAGGGAGTAGGTCTAATAGAGTTAAATACTTCATCTGTCTGAGAAAATAATTTGTCTCAGATTCCATGCTATTATAAGAAGTGGACATCACCCATTTGCTGACCAGTCATACCTAGAGATGAAATTGGTTGATGAAAGATGAAATATGATTGTTTTCCAAGAATGAATACACTCTGTTGAAGCTCTTGAGTAGAATTCAAAAAGAACTTCTAAAATCCATTTGACAAATCTGGATTTTTAAAATCTGGCCATCCTCTGCAGCCAATCAAGCATGGAGGGAGCGTTTCGTGGGGTATTATGGAAGATTTAAATGGTGCCAGGGAGCACAAGGAACAGGAGCTGGTGTGTCCAGATAGGACTTGGTTTGACAGAAGAATGTGCCATGGCAGTGCACAGCAGTTTACACAGGCAGGGGGAGTGGGAAAGGCACAGCCACCATCCCAGCTCCTGAGTGGGGTGTTTGGTTTTTTCCTAACTTTCCCAACTTGAACTGCCCACAGTTGAGAGTCATTCTAGTAGGAGCATGGCGACCCAGACAAAGCTCCCCAGGAAGAAGGCAGCTTTCTGGTCTCTTGCTGTAGGGAGTGCCTGAGCCGGGTGTTAGTACCAGAGGACAGAGGAAAACACATCTGTGGGCAGTGTGAGCAGGTTGATGTCTGGGGTCACAGCTTAAAGGGGAGGTGGACAGGCTGAGGAGTATCATAGAGTTCAAAAGGGAAGTAGACTGCTGGAGTCACACTCTTCCATTCCTGGGACAAGTTCATTGGATGGAAGATCAGCAGAAGTTGGAGGAACCCCACGCCTCAGTCAGAAAAATGAGACCTAAAAGATAGCAGAGAATGGAAATGGATCCCTGCAAAGGGAGGTAGAAGAGTTCCTTCCCAGGCACCCTCACAGTACAGGTATGAAGCCCTGTATTTTGAGGGTCAGGCAGATGACAGTGAGGAAGCAGGTACATCTGTAGAATCTACCAGATCAACACAGTCAACCAGATGGAACACTATTTCAAGTATTAAAATAGAAAGAAGGGTAGTTGTAATGTGTGACTTACTTCTGAGGGGAACAAAGGGCCTTGTATGCCAACCAGATCCATCCCACAGGGATGTCTGCTGCCTTCCTGGGGCCTGGGTGAGGGATATTACCAGGAGACTCCCTGGACTAATCTGGCCCACTGATTACTACTCAATGCTGGTTGTCCAGGTCAGCAGTGATGAGGCTAATAAGAGAAGCACCAGGGCAATCAAAAAGGACTTCAAGGCCCTGGGTCACCTGGTTGAAGGGACAGGAGCACAGGTGATATTTGCCTCAATTCCTTCAACAACAGGGATGAACCCCAAAGGGAACAGGAAAATGCACATTATCAATATGTGGCTTAAAGGCTGGTGCCACGAGTTGAATTTGGGAGTTTTGCTCATGGAATAGGCCTGCACCAACAGGCCTGCTGCAGACAAGATGGAGTTCACTTATCTAACAAAAGAAAAAGTGTTCTAGCCCATGAGTTGGCACAGCTGCTTAAGAAAGCTTTAAATTGTATTTAAAGGGGGAAGGAGATGAGACCAGGATTGGGGTTAGCATACCAGAGTTGGGTAAAATCCTCAGCCCAGCTGAAGTGCATGTACATTAACACACAGAGTGTGGGAAACAAACAGAAGGAGCTGGAGGCCATTGTGCAGCAGGAGAATTATGACATAGCCACTGTCACAGAAAAGTGGTTGGATAACTTGCATGACTTGAGGGCTGCAATGGATGGCTACTTGCTCTTCAGAAGTGACAGGCACAGAAGGAGAGGTGGTGGGGGTTCCATATATTGGGAAGACTTTTGACAGTATAGAGCTTGAGGAAAGTCATGATATGGTTGAGTGCTTATGGGTGAGGATGAGGGAGAAGGCTAGTGTGGCAGATACCTGGGTTGGAGGTCTATTCAGGACACTGACTCATAAAGTACCTTGGGAAGCAGCCTTTAAAAAAAAAAGGCCCTACGGACGTATTTTAAGAAAGAAATCCTGATGGTGCAGGAGCAGGCTGTCCCTAAGTGCCAAAAGGTGGGCCAATGGGGCTTATACCAAACAGGCTGAACAGAGACCCTGCACAGGAACTCAAGTAAAAAAAGTGTGTGCGTCACCTTTTGAAAAAGAGGCACGCAATACAGGAAGTGTTTCAGGATGTCATTGGTCCATGCCAAAAGAAAGGCTTAAAGGCTTTAGAGAGGCTAAAACTCAGAACTTAATGTGGACACCTCTGTAAAAGATAGTAAGTGTTTTTATAAATACATTAATAACAAAATGAGAGGGAAGGAAAATCTCCAGTCTTTATTGGATGTGGGGGGAAATATATACCAAAGATGAAGAAAAAGGCTGAGGTACTTAAATCCTTCTTTTCATCAGTCTCTTCAACCCTAAGATTCTTAGGACAATTGGCCTCTTGAGCTGTTAGGAACAGCAATGGCAGAATGGACCCCCTGTAATCCACAAGGAAGCTAGTGTCCTTCTGAACTCCTTAGACACTCACAAGCCTATGGGACCAGATAGGATTTATCCTAGGGTAATGAGGGACCTGACACAATAACTTGCCAAGCCACTCTCTGTAATTTGTTATCAGTCCTGGCTAGCCTAGGAGGTCCCAATTGACCGCATGACATCCATCCACAAAAAGGGCCAGAAGTAGGATCCAGGGAACAGCTTGACCTCAGTTCTGAGGAAGATTATGAAACAGATGACCTTGAGTGCAATCACAGAGCACATGCAGGTCAACTGGGGGATCAGGGGACACAACTGGTGGATGCAGAGAAGACTGTGGACTACCTGGGCTTCAGCAAAGCCTTTGACACTGTCTCCCACAGTAAACTCCCATGGCTTGGACAGCAGCACTCTGTGCTGGGTTAGGAACTGGCTGGATGGCCGGGCCCAGAGAGTGGTGGTGAATGGTGCTGCATCCAGCTGGGGGCCAGTGACCAGTGGTGTCCCTCAGGGGTCTGTGCTGGGGCCAGACCTGTTCAATATTTTTATTGATGACATGGATGTGAGTACTGAGTTTACTATTAGCAAATCCATGAATGACCTCAAAGTTGGGCAGCACTATTGATCTGCTGGAGGGCAGGAAGTCCCTGCAGAGGGATAAGAACATGGGCTGAGGCCAATGGTGTGAGATTCAACAAGGCCCAGTGCTGGCTCCTGCCCTTGGGTCACACCAACCCCAGGCAGTGCCACAGGCTGGGGCAGAGTGGCTGGAAAGGAACTGGGGGTGCTGGTGGCAGCAGCTGAACATGAGCCAGGCTGTGCCCAGGTGGCCAAGAAGGCCAATGGCATCCTGGCCTGGCTCAGCAATAGTGTGGCCAGCAGGAGCAGGGCAGGGATTGTCCCCCTGTCCTGGGCACTGGTGAGGCCACACCTGGAGTGCTGTGTCCAGTTCTGGGCCCTGACTGCAGGAAAGACACTGAGGGGCTGGAGTGAGTCCAGAGAATTGTTTTTATTACTGAATATCAACATACACCTAGAGAGATTTTAAATAAAAAAACATTTTGTTCTAAGTCAAAATTGCAGACAATAAAAATATTTTTTCATATTGTGATATCACTCTATTGACAATGTAAGTGGTAGTTCAGTGTGCAATGTGAAGCACACTAAAGGCTTAGAAGAATGAGGACAACGAATCTTCAAAACATTTTTTTAATATATAACCCACTTTGGTTTAAGCTCAGTTTGAAATCATAGAATATGAATAAAAATTGAGCTGGAAGAAATGTCCTTCTAAACTTTCACTTAATCCTAGCCTTGTTTTGTTTCAGAAGCAATATATACTGTGAACTAATTAGGGATAGTAACATATCCCATGTAATTAACTTTAGATTTGTTTAATAAACACAATGAGTATGGAAAATAATTATAGATTGTTATATTGTTAGGGATTATAGATTGTAATTATTAGGGGAATGGAGAATTTATAAAGACAAACTATGTTGCTGTTTTAATTTGTTAAAAATTAGCATCTTGAAGGACACTTGCACATTCTTTTGTGTTAGTTCCCCTTACTCCCATATATTAATGTGTAATTCAAGTCTTGGGCATTACCAGCTCAGCTATAACCCTAAAATACTGTTTGGTTGTAGCACTTTTTTTTCATCTTGCAGTACTTACCAAATAGAGTAAATTAAGTCAATGGAGCACAACAACAAACAAAAAAATCCAGCCACATTTTTGATGTGACGCATTTTTTCCATTCTTATCCATAATTCATTTGTGCAAGTGGGCTTTTTTACATTTTAATAAACAACATGAAAGAAAGAGCTATTCTCATGACATTTGCACAACAACAAAGAAGTGTTGAAATGTGTACAGTGGCCCTTTCTTGTGATATGTTTAGGCTGATTTTTCTGATTAAGGTGTTTAGTCACCCAGTAAACACAATTCTTTAATGTTACAGCAGTCCTGATTTTTTTATTTTCTAGAAAACCAAAGTATGAAGAAAAGTACTTTATCAGTATACCATTTGAATTGGGGATTATTTTGAATTGTTTGTGTACACTTCACTAAGGAAAATTACAAGGTCTGTTTTCTCCAGGAATTTTTTCCCATCTGAAAAGTGATGTTCAAACAAAACAAGAGCAAGAAAAGAGAGCAACTACTATATTGCAGAAATAAACCTGTGTTGAATACAAACTATTGAATCATATTGCAAAAAAATTATTGTAAATAAATTTCAAAAGCAACTGTTTACTAACATTTTCAGAGTAGCTGTTCAAAGCTTTCTTGTAGGAATATTGACCGCCACATCTAAGATTTTTTTTTTTTTTAGGGTCTTTTTGCATCTGTGCTGCATTTGATATATCATTTTAAACAAAACTAAGTAAACCTAAAGAGAACAGAAACATTCTTAAGCATGAATCAACAGGGATCTATTACCACACTAGGTGATGTACCATGCACATTTCTAGAGAACACTAAATAATGAATGCATAGTACATCTGCTACCTCCCAGTGGTTAGGAATGGGAAGTGTCTCACATATGAGCATTGACATGAAGGCACGCTTCAAAATCAAGGGCTAACAAATGATCTGAACTTGATAATATCTACAAAAGCACTGCTTTTGTTTTTACTGTAATTGGTAGGACTTGAAGATATGGACGAGAGAATACTTTTTTATTGCACAATATTAATTAATAATTAATATTTCTGTCTGCTTAAATGCAAATAACTAAAGACAATCTGTCTATTGCCACTTGATTAATGGAAATTGCCTTCAAATTCAGCAATAATATTTTGCAGTGTCTCCGGTCCTCACCTGCCCTTCAGCCTCTCATGAGAACTGGAAGAGCTCAATGCTCAAATGACTCCAGGGTGATTAAAGCAATTAGAAGTATTGAAACTGGTGGCTCTTTTAATTGCCTGGAGATACTTGATCATGCACCTCTCTTTTTTTTCTCCTGAAAAATGATTGAGAGGTACTCACTGAATCAAAGAATCATGGAATAAGCTGAGTTGGTAGGGACCCTCAGGGATCATCAAATCCAACTCCTTGTCCTTCAAAGAACTATCCCCAAGAGTTACACCATGTGCCTGAGTGTTGTACAAACAATTCTTCAGCTTTCTGAGGCTTGGTGCTGTGACCACTGCCCTGGGGAGCTGTTCCAATGCCCAACACCCTCTGGGGGAAGAACCTTTTCCTGATGCTGAAACTAAACTTCCCCCAAGACAACTTCAGGCCATTGCCTTGTGTCCTGTGACTGGTCACTCAGAGCAGAGATCAGTGCCTGCCCCTCCTCTTCCTCTCCCAAGGAAGTTGTAACTGCAGTGAAGTCTCCCTTCAGTCTCCTCTTCTTCCTGTTCTCCAGGCTGAACAGACGAAGTAACCTTAGTTGGGGCCATACAGCTTCCTCTCTAGGCCCTTCATCTTCTTTGTTGCCTTCCTTTGGACACTCTCTAATAGTTTTATACCATTCTTGTATTTTGGCACCCTAACTGTCCCCCAGAACTGGAGGTGAGGCTGCTCCAGAGCAGAGCAGAGCAGAGCAGAGCAGGACAATCCCCTCCCTTGCCCAGCTGGTGATGTTGTCCCTGATACAGCCAGGGCTGCCCCATCCCAGGTGCAGAATCCAGCCATTGCCCTTATTAAATTTCATACAATTGGTTGCCCACTCCTCTAATTCGCTGAGGTTTCTCTGCAGGGTCTCTCTACCCTTGAGAGAATCAACAATTCCTTTCAAAAATCAGATGAGAGAAGTTTTGCAATGACATCAGCCAGCTCTTTGAGGATTATTGGATGAATCCCATAGATTTATAGGGATCCAGCTGCAGCAGCTGACACTGCACAATTTCAGTGTCAGTTGGGAGTTCATCATTCTCACATTCATGATCCTCCCAGGGCACTGAGACCTCCTGTTACATCATTCATGTTGAAGACAGAGACAAAGAATATGTTAAGAGAAGAACTGGGATGTTTATAAAAGTGTGCTTGCCATTTACATTGTCACAGTGGAAACTGAGTATCCAGGTGCAGAAGGAAAAAATGTTAGGGATTTATAAATAAACAGAAATGTCCATGTTCAATGTGAAATTATTTTAGATCATAAAGATCCAGATGTGGCCATAAAAACATTTTTATTATGCTGTTGAAACTTAGGTATTCAGTAGTCTTGAAATTG